CCCATGTATTGTCCATGTACACTGTATCCTCTTCTCCATGTATTGTCCCCTCTCTTCTGTAGTGTGTACCCTTTTCCCTGTACACACTGTTCTCCGTGTATTGTCCATGTACACTGTATCCTCTTCTCCATGTATTGACCCTTCTCTTCTGTAATGTGTACCCTTTTCCCTGTACACGATGTTCCCCATGTATTGTCCATGTACACTGTATCCTCTTCTCCATGTATTGTCCCCTCTCTTCTGTAGTGTGTACCCTTTTCCCTGTACACACTGCTCTCCATGTATTGTCCATGTACACCTTATCCTCTTCTCCATGTATTGTCCCCTCTCTTATGTAGTGTATACCCTTTTCCCTGTACACACTGTTCTCCATGTATTGTCATTTGGCCCCTATTCCTTCTTCTCTGTTTTGTGCATCCAGTACCTTGTATCCTGACTTCTGCTTACCTGCTCTCTGTACTATGTGCCCTATATATTGTGTACTTTTTCCGGTTGGCTCAGTTGGTTGAGCATCGGACTTTCGTGCGGGAGGTCGTGGTTCAAGTCCCGGCCGGACCAACACTCAGGGTCTTAAAATTCTGGAGAAAGTACTGCCTTTGTAATTACATCTGCAAATGGTTAGACTTTCAAGTGGCTCGGATGACCACTTTAAATGGCGGTCCCATCTCTCCACGCTCATCATTACTAACCAAAATCGGAGGGACGTAAAAGAACCACTGAGGACGCAAAGAAACCCTGGCAGTGACCACCCTTAGTGCCTACACCTCATACTAACCATCTCTCATTCATAAATCATTGTAAAGCGCCTTTGAACATATTCATATGGAAAAGAGCGCTATATAAATATCATAATAATATTAATAATAAATAAATAAAAAATAATAGTGCCGTCTTTTTTTGTCCCCCCATATTTTGGCAACGGAAAGTGAATTCATATCAAACGTTTATTGTTTTGAAATCCTACAGGTCATGGCTCGAGGCAAGATCAAGCAAATTGGCAGCGGCAACGTCAACAGCGCGGCTAAACGGTTTTCTTTTAGTTTGACGTCTTCATCTGTCATGGCGCCGTCATGTCGTCTCCTGGTCTACTGTATACGACAGGATGGAGAAGTAATCGTGGATGGTCTGACTGTTACTGTTGAAGACCCATTCGATAACAAGGTATAACTACATATCATTAGATCAGCCCAGAGGTTGTTTCAGCATTCCATCTGTGAGTTAGCCATGCCCTGACTTAGATCAACCCAGAGGTTGTTTCAGGGTTCAATCTGTGAGTTAGCCATGCCCTGACTTAGATCAGCCCAGAGGTTGTTTCAGGGTTCAATCTGTGAGTTAGCCGTGCCCTGACTTAGATCAGCTCAGAGGTTGTTTCAGGATTCGATCTGTGAGTTAGCCATGCCCTGACTTACATCAGCCCAGAGTTATCTTAGGGTTCGATTTGCCGGTGAGTTAGCCGTGCTCTAATTGATCGGGAACTGTGCTTTGAACGAAGCGCGTAAAAATCTTATTTATTACAAACAACACTTTTCTTTATAATAAGAATGTGGCAACGAACGCGTTTGTGAAACTCAACTTTGGTAACCCCTTTCCCTTTCCCTTTTTTTTTTTTTTTTTTTTTTTTTTTTTTTTTTTTTTCTTCAAGCTATTTGGTAGAAAGATATTTATTATTTACCCGAGTAATATCTTTTTGTCTTTAAGGTCACTCTGAAGTTCAGCCGCAATTCTTCGCGCCCTGGTGATCAAGTCAACCTTGTTGCCACGGCAACGGCTGGTTCTCAAGTGTCTTTTCTCGCTGTAGACAAGAGTGTCCTTCTAATGAAAAAAGACAATGATATCGACCACGCTCAGGTAAGGAAAAAGGAGTTTGAAAATTGCCCTATTTCACTATGACGTCACATCAAAACAATCTATTGTTTAAACGCAAAGGATCATGGTCGTCGGAGGGGGTCAAATCGACGCAAATTCACCGAAAATTGTTCTAAGGCCAGTATCAATCCACGAAGAGAAGTAGAATAGCCAGCAAACGCTCAGAATATTTTTTAGTACATATTAACACATATTTTATCTGAAAACCAGGCCATTTTAGGTCAATAAACGAAATATGACAAGCTACGGTTTCAGAACTTTATTCTCTTCTTACGTACATGAAGCTAGAAGCTAGTTGCTAGTTGCGAGTTGGATATGCGAGTTGTTCGAAATCTGAAAAAAGCGAAGCAAAAATAAAGGCGTTACTCATATCTAGAAAAATATATTCAAAGTTGAAGCGATCTGACTTACCCGGTAGCTTGCTCTGAAACTCGACGAACTGAATTTGAATTAGCGTCACTTACTTATATACTAATGCAACTTAATCCGAGGCAAGCTACTCGTGCGTGCGTGCAAAAAGGAATCTATTACTGAATTCTATCATGCTTTTCGCGCATGACGAAACACTGTTTCGCTAGGAGCAAATTTTGTTGAATTTTCTATTGGATTTGGTGATTCTATCCCCCACATAAACAAGCAGTGACGTCATAGTGAAATAGTTTTTACTTTAACGGTTTGACATCTGGCCGTCTCAGCTAAATGGCCGTCTGTACCTCTTGGGATATTCAGGCTACAAGTAATAATCAATTGTTCTCTAACTGGTCCATTACCTGGTCCATTTTCTGGTAGGTGCTGCAAGATCTGGAGTCGTATGGTGGTGGTAGTGGCTGGTATCCATGGTGGGAATGGGGATGGTTCTCTGGAGCAAGACGCAGTAGACGAATGATCATGCCTTTCCCTGCTCCTGGAGGCGACGCCATGTCTGTATTCGAGGTAAGTAGACTATATTCAATATTATACATCTTTTTTCAACTTTAGTTCTTAAATGTACCACCACTCGCTCCTCTGCATGTTATATTGTAACCCTTGAAACAATATGATGTTCGGGAAACCACTTCAGTGTTGCTGCATATCTCACTATTTCTCAACATGTCGTATCGGCGAATAACAGAGAAGCCACTTCAGTGTTACCATGTTGTAACTATTAACAGGGAAGCCACTTCATTGTTGCATGTCGTAGATAATAACAGGAGAGCCTAATCTCTTCACTTACTTGCTGTTTTTCACACAGAATTCAGGTCTCCTCATCTTCTCTGACTGCCTTGTGTACAAAATGCAGCAATACTACGTCGATGGTAATTATGTCTTATTGTTTTCCTTCCTTTTTCCATTTTAGACTTTGTGTCTGAGTAGCCTCCTAAGCAGTCGTTCTTACGGTCGTCACGCAACGTTGAGAGGAACATTGCGTGACAACGTGACAGCCATAAGAGCGTTTGCTAAAAGGCCTAGTCTTAGAGTATTTTCGTGATGAATCATGGGATTTCTTGGGGATAGGAAATAATATCACCCATTTTATGGAAATGCATAGTAAGTCATTTGCATCTCATCTGCATGCAACCGTAATAGCAGCTATTTGCGCATAGCGTTTGTGCCTCTGACTTCTATGGACCCTTAAGTTGTGGTATTTTCCCCTGAATCCAATTACTAAAAACATGAAAATAAAGCCCAAATTATATATTGCATTCTTCCACCTGTAATGAGTACAAGAACAAGTCGTACTGGAGCGATTTTCGTAACTGGAAACACGTTATGGCAAATTCGTAGCCGTACCGTGTTTTAACTTAACTGTAACAATGTGTTTTGATTGAATGGGAAACCTTTTGAACGTTAAATTATGTCGTGTCATATACGGTTAATTACTGTTAGTTAGCTGTTAGAGCAACAGGTCACGTGATGATTGGTTACGTAGCCATGACTATGTGCCATCGTGATTTTTCTCCCCCCCCCCCCCCCCCCC